GACGAGCCTGACTCTCTATTCCTCGATCTGTGATCATACCTTTGATTGTCCTGTTTTGACCGTGAGTCTCTTCCCGCAGGTCCCATGTATGGCTCATACCTGTTTTTACCGGACCTTTTTTCGTTTTCTGTCCGTCTCGAACATACCTTTTCTTCTTTTTGATATCGTGAAATAATATCTTCTTCAATCCTCAGCTTTGTGCTATACCTGTTGTAAACGTCATTCCACGTTATACCTGGGAATTTACGAAGGCTTCCCTTGAGTCGCATCGTAGCTTCTGAGCTCTTTTCATTCAAATTGCTTGTGAAAGCTATAGCTTCCCAATTATCAGGTACACGCGATAATGTCATTCTTTCACGTTGGAATCTATCCACGAATTCCCTAAGCAATTCTGAGTCCCCTTGTTTGATCTTGAAAATATCTTCCATTCTTTTTACGAGTTTTTGAGCTCCCGAGTGTGCTTTGATGAAAGAATCTGCAAACTCAGCAAAAGAATTTATAGAATATTCGGGTAAAAGAGAATACCATGTTAGTGCACCCTTGGTGAGTGTTTCACCAATTTTTTTGACTAATACTGATTCAATCTCCTGCTTAGTCAAATCGTTGCCTTTTACACATGTTGTGAATGTAGTCACGTGGTCTCGTGGGTCTGTTGTTCCATTGTATTTTGGTATATCGGGCATTTTGAATTTCTTTGGAATTGGAAGAGAAGCAGCACTTGGCTTCTAGGGTTGTTATAAATATTTATTCATATCTACCCCTTTGATCACGGGTGGCACCCCGGGTATTTGCTCTATGCAGTCACTTTGCTCCTTGAGCTGTTTCTGCAATGTTAGTACTAAATTCTATAAATCAGAATTAACTAAGTTACCTGGTTCTCCCTCCTGTGATTCGTTAGGGGTTCCACCACTACCTAAATTAACAAGCCCGGAACGAGGGTTCTCCAGAGTGTTGTTATTTGGAGTGGGTGTGGGTGGTGCAGCAGGTAATTGGCTAACAAAAGCCTGAAGAGCTTTATTGACCTGTGAGGCAATAAGTTTTTGCAAAGCCTCATCCATAGCTTCAACATTTTCGAGTTGAGCCTGTCTATCTGTATGAGATCCATTAGGAGTGCCTTCACGAGACCGCCGTGGAGATCCTCGTGGAGAAGGAATCAGTACGTTATTGTTCTGTGGATCTCCCTGAAGTTGTTGGTTTGTTTGGTTTTCATGGTTTCCTTGAATGTTGTCATTGTTGTTCGACATGGTTGACGCAACAAGGAAAGTTAAGCTAAAATAGAATGGATTATCAGATTCCCAGTAACGGAACCAATTTGTTTAACCAAAAAATAGAATTTTGACTAAAGCGATAATTTAGAAGAACACGGGTTACTGATAATTGCAAGAATGAATAAAAGAAAGCAATTCGGATAGCAAGAATATAATCAAGTGAAACAAGTAAACCAAAGTATATTCTGATAGTATTTCGTGTCCCTACATTTGATCAGTTCTCTCCCTTTTATAGTTATTTTGGAGATATGCGTTTTGCTTTTGTTATTATGAGCAATTAAAGACATTGAATGCTACGTTACATAATCATTGTATTTACTACAGATTCTCTAACGTTTTTGGTATTTAATACTCATTAAATATTGTATTTGGACTCTCATGCGTTGTCAGATTCATTCCCTTTGATTCTTGAGCTTAAGTGACTTGAACAGGTACGGGCGTTGACTCATTTTGAATGACCGCTCGTGCCTCTTCCTTTGCTTTCTGCTTGTATCTATTGCAACTCGTGCCTCCTTGCCAGCTGTAATTCTTTGACCAGTCTATGTGTCTCGACACGTCATCTTCATACCTCTTTAATATATAAACTCAATTTTTCCCAATACAATAATAAATAAGCATAACACGAGGTTACAAACTGGTCGGAATATCTAGCACCTATTGGCTTAAAGGGCAGGAAATTGCATTGACACTGAGAAGTGCCTTACAAGCTTCCTGGATTTCTGTCGGGGAAAAGAAGTCTTATAAAACTATGCAATTTCATTTTTCTAAGTTCAAGACAACCTAGTGACCTTGTCGTTTTGGTGCTTCTGCTCATAAAATATGTCTTTTACCTATTGAAAAGTAATATGCAGAGATGAAATGTAAAACTATCAAGGTAAATGTTATCAAAATACCGGAAAACGGAGTACTTTTAGGTATATGAAATTAAATAGTGCATTCCAAACTATGATTCTGGAAGAAATTTCACCTTCTGTCAAATAGAAATAATAAAAAATATTGGTTTTAATACCTTAAAGAAAAATGGTTTTATTATGTAGGATATCTATGTTAGAAATTTTTGTGAGAGCAAGACAACTAAATAAACACTCAAAAATTCACTATTAGAGAGGTGGAGAAAAGGATGATTTCTATTAAACTTCACTTACACCAAATGGCTAGCATACATGGGTATTTATAGTAGAACTCCTACATGTATATAGCCTAAACTTCGTGTGTACATATTAATTAAGTCCACACACGTACACAATAGTCCATACATACCTAAACTAGTTCACACAAATTCACACATGTCCACACCTTACTCTTTTCTAACTATATGTATGAAAATATTAAATTAATGTAAACAAATCTAAACAAATGTGGACAAATGGAAACAAGTTTATTACTATTTTTAACATCCCCCTTAAACTTGTTTCATCACTCCAAGCGCCATCCTTAACTTTTGAAAGGCGTCAATCTTCAAAGGCTTGGTGAAAATATCCGCAATTTGATCTCCAGACTTCACATGCCCAAGCTCCACAACTTTATTAGAAATGCAATCTCTAATAAAATAATTTCTCGTATCGATATGCTTGCTTCTTTCATGAAATACCGGGTTCTTGACTAAATCTATAGCCGATTTGTTGTCAACAAAAATCCGTGTAGCATCCTTCTGTGGTTGGTGAAGTTCTTCCAACAAGCTCCTTAGCCAAATTGCATGGCAAACACACGAACAAGCTTCTACATACTCCGCTTCACAAGTTGACAAAGTCACAATTGGTTGCTTCTTAGAATTCCATGTAAATGCGGAATTTCCAAGAAAGAAAACAAACCAGTAGTACTTTTCCGATCATCAATATCACCAGCCTAGTCACTATCACAATATCCCACGAACTTGAATTCTTTAGAAGCTGAATAAAGAATTCCATAATCAAGTGTACATTTGATGTACCGAAGTATTCTTTTGGCTACCTTTAAGTGCGAGGTAGTAGGAGTTTTCACAAAGCGACTCAGGAGTCCAACTCCAAAAAAAAATATACGGCCTTGTACATGACAAATACCTTAAGCTTCTAATAAGACTCTTGAAAAATGTGGGATTGACTCTATCTCCATCTCCATGCTTGGATATTTTAACTCCACATTCAACGTGGGTGCTTACGGGATTTCAATTCTCCATCTCAAGTTTCTTGAGAATTTCCTTTGTGTACTCTCCTTGAGAAATAAAAATGACATCCTTCCTCTGTGCTACTTGAATTCCAATATAGTAGGACATTAGGCCAATGTCCGTCATCTCAAATTCTCTAGCCATTGCTTTCTTGAATTCTTCAAACATCTTTGGATTATTTTCTGTAAATATCAAGTCATCTACATACAAGCAAACAAGTAAGATGTCGCCATTTTTAGCAATATTTACATAGAGGGCATGTTCATGTAACACTTAGAAAAATCATTTGCTTGGAAATATTTGTCAATTCTACTATTCCAAGCTCGCGAGGCTTGCTTCAACCCATATAAAGCCTTCTTTAATTTCAAGACTTTATATTCTTGTCCTTCAACCTTATGTACCGAAGGTTGATCAATATAGACCTCTTCCTCCAATACGCCATTCAAGAAAGCCGACTTCACATCCATTTGATGGATTTTCCATTGATTTTGTGCTGCCAAAGCAATGACAAAGCGAATTGTTTTCAAACGAGCAACCGGCGCATATACTTCATCATAGAATACCGGACTTTTGCTTGTAGCCTTTAGCTACCAATCTTTCTTTGTACCTTTCTATTTCTCCCTTGGAATTTTTCTTTCTCTTGTACACCCATTTCACTCCAATAGTGCTTTTGCCTTTTGGAAGTTTGTCCAACTCCCATGTATCATTCTTTTTTATAGCTTTGATTTCTTCATCCATTGCATCCCTCCATTTGGAATTTTGGCAAGCATCTTCAAAGCTTAGAGGCTCACTGTCCACTAGCAAACAAAAATGAGTAAAATCATACAAGTCATTTCTTGTCACTTCCGTGTTTTCATACAAGTCACAGAGACTTCTACTCTTGTGAGGTGTTTCACTTGAACTTGAGCTTGATTCCCCAACTTCTTGATCTTGTGGCGGAGATGTTGAAGGTGGTGTGATAGCTTGCTCCCCATCTTTTTCTTCATCATCTTCAAAGAATGGACTAAAAGAGTATTCTTGCTCTTTAGATTTCCACTCCTAAGCATTATCTTCAACAAACTCAACATCTCTACTTATGGTGAACTTGCCATTTTTGGGGTTATACAATTTATAACCTTTAGAACTTTGATCATAGCCAATGAAGACATACCTCTCACTTTTGTCCTCAAGCTTAGACCTCTTCTCATCTGACACATGCACATATGCGATGCTCCAAAAAACTCGCAAATGAGCAACTTTTGTCTTGAAACCGCTCCATGCCTCTTGTGGTGTTTTTCCACGAACACTTTTGGTGTGACACCGATTTGATAAGTACACCGCACAAGCAACAGCTTCAGCCCAGAACTCTTTTAGCATATTTCTGCTCTTGAACATACTCCTCGCCATGTTGAGAATAGTTCGATTCTTTCTCACCACGATGCCATTTTGCTGTGGTTGATCTCAGAACTATCAAGTAATGACGAATTTCATTTTTCTCATATAAAATCTTGAATTCATTTGAAGTGAATTCTCCACTATTATCAGACCTAGGTGACTTAATTTGATAGCCACTTTGCTTCTCCACCATGCTCCCAATCTTTTTGAAGGTTTCAAACACCTCCGATTTTGCCTTCAAAAAATAAACCCAAGTTTTTCGAGAAAAATTATCAATGAAAAGTAAAAAATAATTACTTTTACCAAGTGAAGATGGCTTGATAGGTCCGCACACATCCATGTAAATTAACTCGAGAGGGCATCTTGCTCTTATTAAAGACTCTTTAGGAAAGCTTTTCCTTGATTGCTTTCCAAAGAGACATCCTTCACAAAGTTGGTTAGGATGATCAATTGTTGGCAATCCATTCACCATTCTTTCCTTCTTCATCAACCTTATGCTATCAAAATTCAAGTGACCAAATCTCATATGCCACAACCAAGATGAATCTTTGGCACATGAAAGCAAGCACCTCGGAACATCTTTTTGAAGATATAAGATGAACATTTTATTATTAGCCATAGGTACTTTGGCTAACAATCTTCCCTTTTCATCTCTCATATATAACTTTTTTGTCTTTCAAATGAATGTCATAATTTTTCTCCAAAAGTTGTCCCAAACTTAAAATATTACTTTTTATCTCCGGCACATACAAAACATTGGAGATTAATTGATGACTTCCATCTTTTAAACGAATTAAAATCGTACCTTTTCCTTTAATTTGAACTCGTAAAGAGTCTCCAAAAGTGATTGGGCCACCATTCAGCTCCTTAAGCTCCACAAATAAATTTTTCTTTCCACAAATATGACTACTTGCACCGGAGTCAAGGTACCATTTGTTCTTTTTCACACTTTCTTCTCCTTTACATGCAAGAAGTAGAGTGACATCTTCATCTTCATTTTTTCTCTCCACAAAGTTGTTTTTCTCCTCCGAATTACCTTAACATTCCCAGGAAAAATGTCCAAATTTATGACAAGTATAACATTCAACATTCGATTTGTCATACCTTCCTTGATTTTGTCTCCATCCTTTGCCTCTTCCACGACCTCTTCTTTGACTATAGTCTTGGCTTTTATTGTCTCTATTTGGTGGTTGACTACCACCTCTTCCTCCTCTACCACGACCTCTTCCATTTCTACGAACTCTTTGCTGCGAACCACGCCTTTTATCTTTCTCCTTGAAGGAAAGTGTTTCTTGCAACGCCTTTTCAACCGATTCTTCTTTCGGTTTCTTCAATTTTTCTTCATGGGCTTGTAAAGAACTCGAAAGTTCATCTATGGTCATGGTGTCCAAGTCTTTGGACTCTTCAATAGCAACAACAATATAATCAAATTTTGAATCAAGGGATCGTAGTATTTTTGCAACGACCCGATCATCCTTCAACTTTTCACCATATCTTTTCATTTGATTGACAATAGCCAAAACTCTTGAAATATAATCTGAAACAGATTCATTTTCTTTCATATGCAATGATTCAAACTCTCTTCTTAAGGTTTGGAGACGAACCTTTTTCACTTTGTCCAAACCTTTAAAGGAAGTTTGAAGAATGTCCCATGCTTGCTTGGAGGTTGTCGCATTTGCAACCTTCTCGAACGTCTTGTCATCCAAACCTTGATGGATGAGAGTGAGTGCCTTTTGATCTTTCTTATTTATGGCTGCGGCATCTTCCGCTTCATCAACTCCAGACTCTACCAGCTCCCAAACATGATAAGCACCAAGCAAGGCCTTCATTCGAATACACCAATTCCTATAGTTCTCTTTTGTGAGAATAGGAACTTGGAATGGTGTTCATTAGTGTTTGTCATCTTTTCTCCAATTTTGGTTGTCTCTCAACACATCGGCTCTGATACCAAATGTTAGAAATTTTTGGGTGAGCAAGACAACTAAACAAACACTCAAAAACTCACTATTAGAGAGGTGGAGGAAAGGATGATTTCTATTCAACTTCACTTACACCAAATGGCTAGCATACATGGTATTTATAGTAGAACTTCTACATGTATCTAGCCTAAACTTCATGTGTACATATTAATTAAGTCCACACATGTACACACTAGTCCATATATGCCTACATGTGACGACCCGACCCGTCGTCACGTGAGTTACCGCCCTGTTTCCCCCATGTTATGCTTCTTCATGTTTCATTATCAGTATTTGATGTGTTAGAGTTGGTTTGGAATGGTTTCGATAAGAAATGAGGCACTTAGTCTCTTTTAAGAAGGCTTAAGTTGGAAAAGTCAACTGGATGTTGACTTTTGTGTTAGAGGGCTCGAATTTGAATTCCGATGATTTGGTTAGCTTCGGGGGATGATTTGTGACTTAGGAGTGTGATCAAAAGTGATTTTGGAGGTCCGTAGTAGAATTAGGCTTGAATTGGCAAAGTTAGAATTTTAGCGAATTCCGATCGATAGGTGAGATTTTGATTCGAGGTCGAAATGGAATTACGAGAGTTGCAGCAGCTTCGTTAGGTGATTTGGGATGTGTGTGCAAAATTTCAGGTCATTCGGAGGTGTTTTGGTTGGGTTTTTGATCGAATGCGTGTTTCGGAAGTTTTGGAAGAACTTAGGCTTGAATTCGATGAAAAATGATGGTTTTAGCGTTGTTTGAGGTGTTTTGATGATTGGAGCAAGTTTGAATAATGTTTTAAGATGTGTTGGTACCTTTGGTTGAGGTCCCGGGGGCCTCGGGGTGATTTCGGATGGCTAACGGGTTGAAATTTGAGTTGAGGAATTTCAGGTTGCAGCTGATACCTGATATTTTCGCTTCTGCGGAAAATGGACCGCAGAAGCGGTTCCGCAGAAGCGTGAGGAGGGTCGCAAAAGCGGCTTATGGACTGGTAGGGTAGTTTCGCAGAAGCGGAACCTTTTCCGCTTAAGCTAGTCCGCAGAAGCGGACAGGCGAATGCAGAAGCGATTTTGTGCTGGAGAGTTAGTTCCGCAGAAGCGGACATTATGTCGCAGAAGTGGCCTTGGTATTTTAAATGAAATCCTACAGAAGCGGAAAATGACCGCAGATGTGGTAGTCGCAGAAGCGACAAAGGCACCGCAGAAGCGGAAACAACTGATCATAAAGGAGTTTTAATTCCTTCGCGAAATTTCAAAAGAGTTCATATTTTCACTTCGGACTTGGGGTGTTCTTGAGCGATTTTGAAGAGGAAATTCAAGGACTTCGATCAGGTAAGAATTCTTGGACTTAGAACACAATTTTATCATGCAAATACATGAAATTACACTGAAAACTCAAGGAATTAAGGTCAAAAATGGTGGTTTAGGGCTTAAAACCTAAGAGGACAAAAATGAGAATTTGAAGGGTCACTTGGACTCCGATTTTGGTAAATTTGATATGTATAGACTCGTGGAGAGACGAGGAATCTGGTGATGTGAATTTTGTAATTTTTCGAGACGTGGGCCCGGGCCTCGGGTTTTGCCAACTTCGTAATTATCGATGTTTTTCGAGTCTTTTCGATTGGGTTATGTTCCCTTAGCATATTGTGACGTATTCGTTGTGGTTTTGGTCAGATTCGACGCGCGAAGAGGTGAATTCGAAAGGCAAGGGCATAGCAAGCTAGGACCTTGGCCGGCTTGAGGTTAGTAATAAATGTAAATGCTGTGTTGAGGGTTTGAAACCCCGAATTTGCATCACGTAGTGCTATGTGAGGTGACTTGCACGCCGGATAACGGGCGTGGGGTAGAGTACCGTCAGGGATTGCGACTTGGTCCGTCCCGCTTAATAAAATTGATACCTATTTGATTGTAGATTTGTAATATCCTTATAAAAATGGATTAATTGTCATAATTGGGCTTCGTGCCAACTACTCGAATCCTTCGGGGATTATTTTAATGGTTTCTTACCATATCTATAAATATTAAACCCATTCCTGGCATTTAATACTGTGTTTGAAATCTCAGCCATTTTCTTAAATTAGAAATTAAGTTAATATTTTAAAATGAAGTTGGGTTGAATATTTTTATACTATTGTGTGATTTTTGGACTGAGTATGGGATCGGGCTGCACGCCGCAGCAGTATTATAATGATATTGATATGAGGCCAAGGGCCTGTTTGATGCCATGAGATGGCTTATTATTGCGCTTGGGCCGTAAGGGGCCCCTCCCGGAGTCTGCACACCCCCAGTGAGCGTCGTCGACGTTAAATAAATGGAGCGGGGTGCACGGCCGTAGCGGGGTACTGGAGGTACCGGTTTATGTGTTGCATTGCATATTTAATTGTCATTTATTTCTTCATCCGTTCTGATGTTTATTCTAACTGCATTGCTGCTTAATGGTATTTTTAGCTTTACTTTGTGTTTATTTAGGATTTCTTATCCTCAGACCTTATTTATATTTATTACTTTCTGAGTTGGAAGTACTCACAATACTCCCTTCACCTTGTGTGCAGATCCAGGTACACCAAAGGGTGAGTGAGGGCTTGTTAGCTGAGCAGCAATTATCTGGGAGTGTCGAGGTAGCTGCATGGCGTTCGCAGCCTTGATCTCTCCCTTCTATCTTTTATTATTTTTATTCGTATTATTTTCCTAGTCAGACTTGTAATAGGTGAATGATCTGCTTCTAGAGGCTCATGTTCGTGACACCAGATTCTGTGAGCTAATTGGTATTTTATTTTGGGGTTTTCGAATGTTAGAGATTATATCAGAATTTCCGCATTAAATTGGTATTATAATAGTGAACATTTATTTATGTATTTAGATTATTTGGCTAAGGTTGCATAAATGGTCGGGCTTGCCTAGCAATGTGTTGGGCGCCATCACGATCGGGGTTTGGGTCGTGACACTACACTAGTTCACACAAATTCACACATGTCCACACCTCACTCTTTTCTAACTATATGTATGAAAACATTAAATTAATGCAAACAAATCTAAACAAATGTGGACAAATGGAAACAAATTTATTACTATTTTTTAACAATCCATACCCAATGAGCAAGAAGTCAAGAACTAATAAAAATAGAAAGAGCCAGATATAGTTTGCAACTCGACGAGTTTAAAAAAGTATTATTAAGTGTATTGGACATGAGAAAAGTATACCTTGACTATCAAATACTTCATTACAGAGACCAGGATGTCAAAGACTTGATCTTTATGTGATGTGTTACGGACCAAGATCTTCGGGCCAGGGGTGGCTCGAGAGGAGGCTAGTAAAGCTTTTATTTTAGGTCCCTTAAATATTGAGGCCCCAAAAATATTTTTAGTTGTGGATTTACTATTTTATTTTCGTTTAGACAATATTGAAGTTTATAGAAAAAGAAAAATAAAAATACTAAATCCTTATAAAGAAAGACTATCTATTTTTTAACAATAGAAATACTTAGAAGTTTAAATTAAGATACTCAAATCTTCATGGTGATAAATAACATTATTTTACAATAAGATCCAACGTAACTAATTGTAAATACGTGGCTAACATCTTATTAACTTAAATTTTCTTACCAATGTGAATATTAATATTATATTTTATAAGATAACTACACTATAGAAAAAAAGAAAGAAAAAAAGGAATTAATGTAATATTACATACTATATTTTACAAGATAACTATACTATAGACAAAAAAAATCAAGGCCCTTAATTAAAGTTTGGCTTTAGGCCACGAGTTTTATTGAGACGCCTTTGCCTAGGGCCAATAATTGGAGTGAAAGTCACCGAGCATTGTAGCTTTGAATAATAGCTCCAACCAAACTATAATAGGCATTTGCCCAAGAATGATCGAACGCATATTCACCATAAGAATGGCTGTGGATTTGGATCAGAAGTAGTTAGCCAAGCATGTCATCCGAAAAAAAGTCTAGATATTGTCCAATAAAGAAAACATATTAAAAGCATGGTCCACAAATAGCATGCCAGATGTTTGAACCTTTTGAGATAGAGGGAATCAATACCTAAAATACTATTATTTTCGCCTTAGCAATAATAATGGTAGAGGCAGCACTAAACTGATGATCACAAAGATAGAAGATAGAAGAGATACATGATTAGCTGGCCAGGTCACTCCCGAGATGATTGAATAAAAGTTAGTATCAAAACTATTCCAATTTTCTTATAATCAGATTTCTTAACTGTATCTTCATCCACAGTCTGTGTCCTCTTCTCCCTCCGCGTTCCAATACAAGCTTCAGTTGTTCATCTTTGCGCATAAATTTTTTTTCTTGAGTCTGTTGAGTCTTAACCAGCAGTTGCAAAGATATTTCCGTCATCAACACGTTGATATCTTGCTGGAGACACTTTATTGGCACAGTTAGGTCTTCTACCCCTTTTTCACCTTATTAATTAGAACATAAGTATACCAGCCACAGATAATGAATCCAACAATTTCAACTAACACAGAAAATAAAATAAAGTAAAAAACATGACACCTTGGTTTCCTGCCTACAACCAAGACAATCAATGGGGCATTTATAGCAAACGATAGTGTTAGGATATCGACTGGAATTTTCAATGGATGGCTAGCCTGATTTTCTAATCTCAAGTCTTTTTTCTTGTAAAGTGTCAAATCGTGTCTCCAATTCTTGTAGCACACCTGATATTCTGTTAAGATTCTTCTTAACATCAAAGAGATCTATAGCCCTCATAATTTTTGAGAGAGAGTATTTTTCCGAAAGAGTGTAGAGCCGAAAAAATATTTAGTTTCATGAAAAGAAGCGGTAAAACCCTAGTTACGTCAAAGGTGTCAAATTTACCCTTATCTCAAATTTGGATACCTTGAACTAATATCTGGGTTGAACTCAATTTAGATGAATGAAGAAGAAGACGAAAGAAGAAGAAACAGATAGGAAGGTCGATAGAAACTAAGAGAGAAGTGATTTTTATTATCTGAATGAATTACATAGTGGTGTATATCTATATATATAGGTAGCTTACTAATTAACTATTAACAACTAAATAGAAGCTATTAACTAACTAACTAATATTACGAATGGTTGTTAGTAACAAACTAACCAACTAATATAAAATTATTAGACTGCCCTCTCTACATTATGTTATATCTTTCTCTACACTTTACAATTTTGAGCAATTAATATATGCATATTGAAATGTGGATTACATAAATTATGATCTTTACCCCCTTCAAACCTCAGTCATCCTTTCCCTAAATACTTTGTTTTAATTTAGATCCTCATATAGTAGTCGAACTTAAAGATCTACACTATTTGACAGAGCCCCTATCTAATTGAATGAGTATTTGTTCGCAAAAAAGTTAAGCTTTGTAAAATAAAAGAATGGAAGTAAGATTATACGCATATAGCTTACGTGAGGAATTCACTACACGTGGAGGGAAAAAAACACAAAGTAAAGAAAATGTATATTGATTGAATATAAACAAGAAGTAAAATATAAGGATGACTATCAACAGAGCTCGTCGCGAAAACCAAAACTTAAGTCTCTATTTTGTGTAGCTTCACAAAAGTTGAGTAAAAACCAGAGAAGCAACAACCAGCAACACTTTCATGCTTGAAGTCTGCATTGAGTAGTCAGCTGAATTTGAATCTGAATCAGATGCTCCTAAAACCAAGAATAATACTCGAAATCAATTATAAGATAATCAAGTTTAATTGCCAAACCATAATTTGAAGAAGAAAAAAATCAAGAAAATTATCGAAAACTAGACGACTTGTTACTTATTATTAGCACATGTTATACATACATAAACATATTTTCATTTACTAATTGTCACGATCCGGATTTCCCGCCCTCGGGGTCGTGATGGCACCTACTCGTGGTAGCTAGGCAAGCCTACTCAATTACTCTTTCATTACTAAACAAACCTTTTAACAATTTATAACATCAATAAAGAACATGAAATTTAATAACAATAGAGGAAGTCTGAATCAAAACGCGGAACAGTCAACAATAGCCTCTACCCAAGACTGGTGTTACAGTACTCACGAACTACTAAGAGTTTACTAAATACAAAGGTCTGAAAGAAACATATAAACTGTTTGTCTCGAAAATAAGGAGGCAACAATATAAAAGAGAAAATCAGGGAGAGACGCCGGGCCTGCGGACGTCTGCAAGGCTACCTCAGTCTCGTGATAATGTAAGCCTGCTCCCGTGCTAAAGCTGCTGCTGCTCCTCAAAACCTGGACCTATGCAAAAATGCACAGAGTGTAGCATCAGCACAACCGACCCCATGTGCTAGTAAGTGTCTAGCCTAACCCCGGCGAAGTAGTGACGAGGCTAGACTGGACACCACATAAACCTGTGCAATTATAAATATACAACGAAATCGAAGTGCCAAACCATTAACAATATGGGAGGGGAAACATGCTGTGGGGAGATAGCAATATTATCAGTAATCCAGAGTAACAATCTTAAGCAGCCTAATTTACGATGGACAAGGAACCAATACTCAATATAAACACATTTCCAACAATAACTGTTGCGGCATGCAACCCGGTCCACAATTACCATTGTTGCGGCGTGCAACCCGATCCACAATTACCACTGTTGCGGCGTGCAACCCGACCCATATCATTTATCATTTATCACTATTGCGGCGCATAACCCGATCCTCATATCGCATTTAGCATTGTTGCGGCGCGCAACCCGATCCTCAAATATCATTGTTGCGGCGTGCAACCCGATCCATATCATTCGACAGTCTAGCTCCCCAAACAATAGTCACAATTAAGGGGCATAAAAATAAACAAAACATTGGAAGGAATCCCGGCAAGGGAAAAGAAACCAACAAGTTCAACAAAACGTCCCAACAACGGAAATACCAACAACGCTTTCTCTTTCTTTTCATTTCTTACGTTATAATCCACTTTACCATTTTGAGCCAACGCTCCAAAGAATCAAGCCATTTTATATACTTTCAATATTCGTATCACAATTCGAGCCAATGCTCCTAGGAATCAAATGATCATATCATCGTTCACATTTTATTCACAACATATAGAAATCCTCCAATAAATACGGAAATTTCAACCAAGTCATGGTAATCACATTATGAGGACTCACGGTCATGCTAGACACCAATGTGTAGATACTCGTCACCATGCCTATACATCGTACTCGATCATTTAGCAATTAGCAAACAAGGCTCAACTCCTATTTCCCTCAAGCTAGGCTTAAACCAAACACTTACCTCAAAGCCTTGAAATCCACTTAATCCTCAACTATCGCTTTACCCCGCGGTTCTACCTCCAATTCGCTCGAATCTAATCACAAATT